CAGGGCTTGGCCTTCGGGTTCGGATGAAAGGCTTTCAGAGTCTCATACCCGGCGTTGGAAAACAGAAGTACCTCCGCGGCAATATTGGGACCGTTTCTTTACCGCGGGACCAAAGTAAGAAGGAACTACGGCGTGTGTTTTCGTAGAGCCAAGAAAATGTGGTCTGACTCCCGTTTGGGATTGGCATCGCTGGCAGACATCTGTGGGTCACACAGGTCGTGACAGGATCTGCGCTATCCCTGTCTAATTCTTATTCAAGTTTCCTCGCTACGCCCGGGAGTCTCATTGGGGCAACTAGCCAGTTCCCCTCCATTTACCGGGCAACCAAAAAAAAAGCATAAAAAGCCAACCCCGAACATCCTCCGCATGACCGTTCGCCACTGCCTTGTGTCCAACGAAGTACCTCAACTGCAGACTATTGCCGTTACACAAGCTCCCTAAACGCCAAGCCCTTGCCAGTCCGCTTGCAGGGATTTTGGACAACCCTGCAGAGTCTCAGGAGAACCCCGTTCGAAATTGGTGCTTGCTGGTTACCAGATTCACAAAACCAAAAAAAACAAGCAACAACTCGAGTTCAACATCGGCTTGGATACGACATTGCGTCGGAGGCTGTTGGCCGGAATTGGCTTGTGGCTGCCTGCCGGGTCATCGATGGGTTGCTGGTAAAATCTTGTATTCTCACCTGGACCTGGGTCCCCAACCACTGTTTATTGCTGTGAGCTCAAGTGCCCAGCGGGCCGAAGTCTTGAAGTTGTCACAATGTAACATCTTAGAAAGGCGACTCAGCAATCTGCAAGCCCTGCAACTTGTAGCTCCAATTTCCCCAGGGCTCATTAAACTTCCAGAGTCGTTCAAGCAGAAGTGCGTCATTCAAAAAAAAAAGCAATGAACAACATGTTCATATTCCCTCCAGCCTTGGTAGGCTTGAAGAGCACATTCGTGTGCCCATATCCATACAGCTCACCTGCGGCCCTGGCGGCCTCCGCGACATAGTCACCTTGTGCTGTGTTTACTATCAGGCGTTCCAAAGACACTGAGCCCTTGTTTTGAAAGGCCCCCGCCCATGCTCCCTGCAAAATTCCCGTGTGATCTCAAATATGGACACCGTAGACCATCAGAAATGGTGTCCATGCTTCTTTTGAAAGACGCGCGCCTCCAGCAAGGTAGGTCTTGGAGATTGTCTTGATGGCCTTGGCCCAGGCCGTCTGCACAGCTTGCACTTCCTCCTCGGAGATGGAGGGCACGAAGGGCACCTGGGTCTCTGAGGAGGACTTCCGTGACTATACTGTATCAGAGAACCTGTTATACTCACAACGTCTGCAAACCGTGATACTCCTGAAAAACACCCCAGACGCTGAGGAATGGTGCAAGAAGATGCGCACAT